TAAATATATACATACATACATACAACATATATACTATATACTATATGTTTATATAAGTTTATGTATATATATATATATATATATGTTTATGTATATATATCTAAACTTAATATACGGATATCAAAAAAGTTATATATGTGATTGTATATTTATAAATAGATATACTTTATATATATATCTACACGCATACACATATATATACATAATATACATATACTTTAATATATATACATAATATACAGATACATATGTATATATATATATATATATATATATATATGTATATATATAATAGTAAATATACATATGTAAATGTATACATACTCACACACACACACATATATATATATATATATATATATATATGTGTGTGTGTGTGTATATATATATATATATGTGTGTGTGTATGTATATATGTATATATAGATATATGTATGCGCACGTGTGTGTCTCTACGTGTTTGTCTGTGTGTATGTATATGTTTGTAGAAATTATTTTTGCTCAGGATTATATGTATACATGTATTTGTATCATATCTATGCGATAAGTTGTTGGATTTGATTCTACCTCGTGAGTGTACGTCCATTTATTCACTCTGTCCATGTCAGTGCGTGTATGCATATATAGCTACGCACTACGATAACATTTTAAATTTGCATACTATTTTATGTATGTACAGACATTCGTAATGGCTACCCTCGAGTCCATGGGTGTTCAGGAGGTGGATGACACACTTGCACACTACATCGTCGTGCTAGTTAAGAATAGACATACGGGTAGACAACTCAACACAGATCTGACTACGTTTCTGGGTGAAAATACGGTGAAATTTACACACTGGCTGTGTGATCTTCTGATGAAGGCCGAGGTGGGGGATGTAGGTATGTTCTACCTATGCAAATGAAGTCTTGTTTATTTATATTAATTGGGTTGCCCATTGTCGTTTTAGTGCGTGTCTGGAAAAGGTTAATCCTGGTCTACGCATGTAGCCCTCTGCAACAACTCGGTGCAATTGACACAGTGGCTATATGGCCTGCTTGTATATGTTGTATTGCATATTTTTGGGTCTCTATACGAAGGTTCAGGTCCACATGTTGACGGAGTAGCTGTTTGTGAAGACCGAGGGTTTGAATATATGAATGTCCTACGATGCAAGTAGCACTTAGTTATTGACCATGAAATGAGGGGTTTCTCGCTTCTGTAAATTTGAGTTGAAACGCGCGGATGATGTTTTGGGTGTTTTGCATTGTAGTATAGGTGTTTTGCATTGTAGTATAGGTGTTTTGCATTGTAGTATAGGTGTTTTGCATTGTAGTATAGGTGTTTTGCATTGTAGTATAGGTGTTTTGCATTGTAGTATAGGTGTTTTGCATTGTAGTATAGGTGTTTTGCATTGTAGTATAGGTGTTATTTCTAGTGAGACTGTATCTGGTCCATCTACGATTTGCAACAACACGGTGCCGGTTATACTGACTATTTCATCTGAGTACAAAGGCCGGGGTGGTGGATGTAGGAAAGCTACACCATTAGCACATATTTTTGCGGTTAATGGTTTGCATATTGTCCTGCATCTGGGCCCAATGACCTATGGACATTTCTTTCTGGTATACGCCCTCGTATAGAATCCTTCCACATAGCCAGGTCACAGACACAGTCTTTGCATACGATCATCAGCACACACACTCTTTTGCCATATCACACACCCATCACCCAGATGAGGATGACTTCGCTGCCTTCGCAGAAAAAGATTCCGCGCTCAAAGACTCTAAGAAATACGCCAGCACGGGCCAATCAGATTCTAAAGCGATATCTACTCAAGGACAGACATATCCCAATGCACACTCGCGCTTAGAGGATTCAACACACGCTGCCGCCAATCGCACGGTGTCGAGTGCGTCACTGTTTAGTAGTCTGCGTCGACAGTCCGCTCTGAGCAAAGTGGGGTCACGCGTGCTGACTGCCGTGCTGAGCACCGGCGCGGTATGTCCGATGGTGTATATATGAGACTTATACGAAGATCTCACTCAAGTGCGTGATTGATTATGCCGGTGATGCTACGCCTGAGTCTTCATATCTCTCTGTTTAACGCAGTTGGTCTTTGGTAGGACCAGAGTGCGTCGCTGTTTGGTATTCTTCACCGACAGCCCGCTCTGAGCTTACGCGGGGTCGCATGTACTAACAGCTGTGCACCGTACGGGTGGGATATGTGCAATGGGTGTATACCGCAGCTGCATATGTGGATGTTATACTCACAGATATGTAAAAAGTGTGCGAATGTTTCTACACCCGGGAGTGTGCGTGTGTATCTCGTTAATGTAGCTGTTGTTAGCATGGTTTGGAGTGTGTCTCTGTGTACTAATTTTACGTCGACAGTCAACTCTGAGCTAAATCTGGGTCGCGCATGCTCACAGTGGTATTGATTACTGGCGCGGTATTTTGGCCTGCAAATACCCGTGCTGTAGTTGAAGACGCTCTACGAGTGTGCGTCAAAGCTAGCAGGTTTTTGTGGTACTTTCATACGAACTCGCGTGGTATATGTGTATAGATTCAACCCACGACCCAATGGCATATATATCTTTAAAGATCCAACCCAAGCTTTATACACTATCAATCTAATTGAAATTTACACTTTGGCATGTTCATTTTAACTGACACTTGATATAGGGCGCTGCTTTTCCGTCAGCGAAGAGACCGGCAGCCGATGACGACAGCACCGCCCACAAGCGCCCTCATGTGGACACAGACAGTGCCACGGGTGGAAACGCATTCTCGTCGCACTTTTCTAGCAAAGCAAATGGCAACACGTATAGCAGTACGAATGCGGCGGCGACCCGTGGGGAAATGAACCCAGAGGAAGCTATGGCTCTTAGACGCACGGAACAGCAGCTGAACGAGGGCAGGAAAGGTGTGCGTGTGTATGTGGTTGGAGGGTATGAACACCCGTGTCTCAATGTATGTACATGCATATCTAGATTTGCATGCTTTGACACATGTCAGCGCAGTCTGAGCTACATGGATGTGCTTTCGGTTCTGCATACAGGTCGACCAATACAATAAGTTTTTTTTGACTACATGTATACTAAAGCTATGCATGTAAAGCGACAAGGGAAGAGAGGCAATCAGAATCCCACAAAGACAGTATGCAGACGTCTTGAGCTACAAACGTATTCATATCTACATGTATACATAGTCAATGTCGGCAATTTGCGTATGTATGTCATTTAAAGGCTAGTGAAGACAAACATGTACAAAGTGCTAGACAGTTATCAAGATACTCTAAGCTGACATCGTATATATTCATGCATTCACACACACATATATATGTATATATATAGGTGCTGGGTCGGCATCTTGTCCGTTCTTTCCATCGTGCAAACACGGGGACAAGTGCAAGAGGGTACACCCAAAGCCGACATGTAGGTTTGACGATAAGTGCACTAATGACAGCTGTCCGTTCAACCACACCACCGACTTTGCTGAAGGTGAGCCAAGGGGTTGGTTGGACTGAGATGCATTCAGTTGTATTTGTCCAGACATGCACCTTGCTGTGTGTTGCCAGTGTGTACTGCTGTTTTATCGTGCGATATATATAATGTATAGCATTGGTTACCGAACGTTGGTGTGTATTTCACTCGTTCCGAGTATTGACTGATAAAATCTCCTTTGCCTCTTGCGCCGTACTTTGCTGCATGTATGGGACGTTGTGGTGTGTGTTGACTTTCTCTCTCTCTCTCTCTCTCTATATATATATATATATATATCTATATATATATATATGTATATATACAAATATATATATATATATGTGTGTGTGTGTGTGTGCACAAATATAGATATGTATATATATACATATATGTATATATATATATATGTGTGTGTTTGTCTGCCTGTATCTGTGTCTGTGTCTGCGTGTGTTTGTGTTTGTGTCTTTTAAGTATAAATATAAAAAGGTTTAGACTGATTTACTAAACCGCACTTCCCATATAAATACGTGTACAGCTACTGGCAATGATTCTTGCTACAGCAGCCCTACCAGTTCGCAATACATATGCACACAAATACGCGGATTTATATACATATGTCCATATATTTATGAATTCTAAGACTGATATATCTGCCTATGCATGCGCATGTACAGGTGGCGGGGGTGGCGCTTATCACAACTCAGCCAGTTCACAGTACATCGCAAGATCCGACCGTAGTAGCCAGGAACCCTTCGGAAACAGCACAAGCAGCGTGAGTGTGAGTAGTGCACCTAAACGCATGTGTCGCTTTGGTACGAGGTGCAGGCATGACAATTGTCCGTTTGAACACACAGTGGACTCGGGTGGGGGGGTCAAATCAGGCGCATTGGAGGGCAATAGAGGGCCTAGTACAGGCCCAGCAAGCGCCGGATATGATCGAGGGTATGGTAGTAGCAGGGGAAGGGATAGCGGGGGGTACGAGAGTGGTTTTAAAAGCGGGACAAACCGGTACGGCGATAGTCTGGGCTCTGGTAGTATGGTAAGTCTGTCCGATCGTGTAGGGGGAAGAGGAGTGTGCAGGTTCGACGGCCGGTGTAGGAAGCCAAACTGTCCTTTTCAGCATTTACAGGATAACACCAAGACTCGTTCAGTAGGCGGGTTTGGCGGTCAGAGTCAGTATGCAAACACACAACAGGCCTCGCCGTCCAGGTCGTCGTACAGTGGGAGTGTGGGGGGGGGCGGTAATGGGCCTAATAGCTATGCTTCCGAGGGGGGGAGGGGGGGTGGGTTTGGGCAACGAGAGCGACCGCCGTGCAGGTTCCAGGATAGGTGTACCAAGCCTAACTGTCCGTTCACACATGACAGCAGTAGCAGTAGGGGCGCGATAGGGTCCGATATTCGGGGATCTCGAAATGTATGTGATAATTCTTGTGTGGGTTTGATGGCACTGTGTGGTGGAGTTGGGTGTGTGTTTAATATGCTTGTAGGGCGTTTAGGGTTTCTTGGGATATAAACTGGGTGTACTTTGTGCTTGGGAAAGAACTTGGGTTGGCCCCGCTAGCAGATTATATTGGTTAAATGTGCACGTTTATATATATAAATATCAATTCAGCGGCCGAAAATCCCTTTTATTTGAACTACACATAGATTTCTATATCACTAGTCATTGCTTCATTGCTGTCGTTTAAATACAAGCAAATGAATTTCTGTTTTATCTGCCCCTCCCGCACCTATGTTAAGTCGATTGCTCTTCATAGTATGCCTTTGTATATCCAGCCGCTCGCGTGCATTAAATATGTATCTATGGTGTATTTGTATATATCTAACATGCATGTAGATTATTCATTCATATTTTATGCCCACTCAAATAACCACTCACAGAGTCGGCCTCGAGCGGAGTGCAAATTCGGCAGCCGATGTACCAAGGCCCAGTGCAGTTTCTACCACTCCGAGAAGGATCATATCAGCGATAGGGTGTTAGTACTTGAAGAAGCCGATTCGTGAGATAACTACAGATATATAAAAGAGCTAACAAGCTGCGAGATGTAGACTGACTGCGAGGGAATTTGATTATGTGCAGGTGTAGTCCATGCCACTCGGGAAGGAATTATACCAACCATGGAGTGTTGAAACTCGAGGAAGACCGCTCAAAAATCATCTTCGTATGAATTGGCAGTAAGGATGACCATAAATTGATCACACAGAAAGAAAACCTTCCATGAGAGGTTAGAATATAGCAAAAGGGGGACGTGTATTATATGTATTGGCACATCAGAGTAATGTATCAGACTATCAGGTATCTGTTTGGTGTATGATCTTTTAAGTAGCCAGATGGGTTCGCAAAATCAAAATATATACACGGGCAGAGGCGGCGGCGAGGGGGGGGGGTAGAAACTCCGTGCGATAGCTCCGGTAGCCAGTATACGAAGTTATCACTATGCTATTGTTCACCTTAGCAGTCACTTGAAAAAATCAGGGCCTCAGCATAGTTCTTTCGAGATGAAACAGACCAAACTATCACAATTTTGACATGTTTCGATTATCTGCGGTCTGTATTGGCATATACTGCAGAACGTATAAATGGCCAAGCGAATCTCATCCGGAGTCAGCAGGCACAATCCTGAAGTCGGTAGAATATTTATTGCTGCGTTTGCGCAAAGTGAGCATTCCGCCATTTTGCCGCACGGATATCTAGCAACTGACCCTCCCAGAGGGGGTAGATATCTCCTTTGCTGAAATTATTGGTTTTTTCTACATGCCGTTGATTGAGCAACCATATGCCTGCGAGATCTTAATCTTCGCAACTGGTGACTGCGCATAAATGGCAGCTCCACTTTAGGAGTTCGGTACATAGTCCTCGTACCTACTGGTGTACCTCTCAAGGCCAAGGTCATCAATAGATTGAGCGCGTGGGAGAGCACAGGCTTTCAATCTCTGCCTTGGGTGCAGTGTGCAGATACGGAAACATTCTTCGTAGGATTGTTGGGTCTAATAAAATGAGACAAGCTGCAGTACTATTATTTGTTATAGAATTAGAAATATATGCGGGTGGGTGTTTCGGGCGTGTGAGTATATGCATATTTTATTTTCATACGATTGAACCTATCTGTAGTGTCGACTATCTAATCTGCCATCTGCCCCAGGTCTGTTCCTCAATCCAAAAGAAGTTTCAAGCGCCTCCAGACCCGGCAGATGATATACTATATTTTAACTATTACTGGAAAATCTGTTAAGTATCTACAGATTCCATGTGTTTTAGAAGATCCTTCTTGGTCATGATACCTGCGAGATTGCCCTCTATAGCGGATACAAATTAAAAAATTTAAAAAATGCAGCCAGACATTAGTAAGCAACTACCTATATGTCTGGAAATTCTTTAAAAAAGTGAACAAAGCGCACAGCAACTAATAAATTTCGCTACACACGGGCACCAGCAAACGAAAACAAGCACCCTCTAACAACCAATCTCACACACACCCATTCAAACGATCTAAATTATCAAAGAAAAACAAGCACCCTCTAACAACCAATCTCACACAACACACCCATTCAAACGATCTAAACTAACAAAAGAAAACAAGCACCCTCTAACATCTCTCAATGTACGACGTTCTGCTATTCACTACTTTAACAACATCGAACTCGAAATGCACATTTTTGTTTTTCCTCTATGCCCATAGACTATGGACGAGTACGCGAGAGCGAAGAGCATGCCCGCAAGATGCTGGCCAGCAAATGTACACAGAAGCAGACCACGCAAATAGTAAACTGC